CTAACAAACACAGCCCTGATGCAACCCACTCACACCTGCGCCACCGTGGATCACGACGGCCACCGAGCTGCGTCACTCGGTCAATAGGGACGGGTGCGGGCACACATGACCTAGATGAGCCGGCCTCGACTGCTGCGGGGCCTGAGCGGAGGTCCCGAGGCGCTGGGACCGCCCCGCCTCCGCTCCCACTCTTCAGAAGTCACGGAGATCGGCATTCAGCGCTGAATGAAACACCTGCGCTTCAGCTGCACTGCTGCGAGCCAGGCGTCGTGCTGCAGCACCACAACATTTTCTTGCTGCGTCAGAATTAACCCGATTGGGCCGTCCGCGTCACAATCACACACAGCCGCGTCACAATGACTATCGATTTCTGACGTCACAGCATCAACAGTCCCGCGGCGTTTCGACAACCGAAAACAAGAAGCTTAGCTTTCATCCATTCACGGCCCCCGCAGGCAAAAACGCGCCGGGAAGGGCCCTGTACGGCAGTCGTAACCACCACTACGACTGTGCTTTACTGACTTTACGGTATACTTTCATTTCGTGTCGTCTCGCCTAGGCTGTTCTCTAATCGCACCTGCCAGGCCAATCGTGCAGCTGCTGCTGTGGTCGTACTGCATGTGATCGGGCAGCTTCTGTATGCTGTGTGTGGGTGGGTCATGACTGGGGAGGTTTGTGTAGGGGAGGGGAGGGGAGGGGGAGCTGGTGGAGCGTAACGGGCGAGCAGCCGCAGCACAGCTGTTCAGTGGCGACCGTGACGTGGTGTGACGTGACGTGACGTGTGACGTTACCAGAAGGTGATGAGACCCAGAACCACAGCAGGATCCCATATTACCCTGCATACAATATACCACACAGCAAATGAAGGCCGTTTGTGATGACTCTGTAGTCACTCTGAATGCGCTGATTGATCACCGTCAGTGTCATCAGCTCCGCGCGCTGGAGCCTCACGTAGCCAGCGCCATGCTCCAATACCAGAATTCCCAGCTGTTGAGACCGCAGAGGCAGATGCCACACAATGACTATAGTTTAGATTTAATGACGCCACTGGCCTCCATGATAAACCAACACACAAGGTCATCTGTTTGGTAAATACGTCGACTCCGTGAGTGATAATTCCTTCCGTGAGTTATTTCGATCCAGAAGGCTGTGTTGGAGCGGTTCTTAGCGTCTTGTGCATGACTACTTAGGACGGGGTGACAGCGTATGTCCTATCTACTCTTTTATTCCCAAAGGCTTGCTTGAAGGGCATAGAGCGTGAATGGGAAGGCTTTGGCTAAGCCGAGTGAAGTGATCTATGGCACGTGAAACATAATGAATGGGTTGATGAATTTACGAGTTTTTCTCGTGGTTAGGTGCCTGGGTTTCATCAACAAAGATATAATCAACGTCCTTTAATATTTTGAACAAATGTTCTATGGTGAGAAACTATGCTGGCTGTTATTATTTTTACCACTTACAGAGTGGCAACAGAGACGTGTATGGCGGTTACTTCCACCCCATGAGAACCTTGAATACTCGGTTTCATAGGTCATGAGCCTGATGTTGCTTATGTGGGTGCCGCTCGTTTCTTTTTGGTTGCCGGCCTGACACTTCTTTATTCGTGACCTTGATGTCTTCATCAAACTCTCATTGGAATACAAACATCGCCATAAACCGCATCGGCATCATATCAACAAGTCCAGCATATTCATTCAACCCACGGGGCGCATTTCGCCATGTCTGTTTCGCTGGTCGCCAGTTGTGCCATCCCACACACTGCCTCAGCTCCCCGCCTGCCTCGGTAAGTATAGCCCGGCCTGGAGGCGAGTCCAAGGCCCGTCGCCGAGCCTTTCGGCCATGGTAATGCTGGGAACTTCCCAGCTGGTTTGGCACACGGCGACTTTGAGCGCGTGCACCACGGCTGGCTGGTGATGGTGAGCTGTGGTGCGTGCGGTGGGCTGTGGGTGAGCTGCGTTATACGCGCTTCTAATTGGTGACTGCGCTAGCTCCTGGATAGGCATTAGAGATAGCTGGGTAATCCTGGATCAGTACAACACGGGTGTAGGATGTCTCTGTTTGGCATGTCGCTTGACAAAGAGAGAAATACGAGAATGGAGACACTTTTGCTCTTGTGCATTGGAGGAACTTTTTGGAGAGAATGTACGTAAAAATTAAATGGCCAGCAATTATATAAAACTTGAACTAACCCTGAAAATGTTTCCAAGACTCTGGTATAATCTTCTGACGCAACAATCGGTATCGTCTCTGATAAATCACAATGTGATGATATTTTAATGTTAGCGGTCCAAATTACCGTCCGATTAGCGGTGAATTATTGAGTTTGGAAGGCCTTCCCCGCTGGGTTCGGACTAGTTTCGAAATATCCCAAATTCGCCTTGTTTTGACCGCCGCCCACCAGGCAGTTTGTCCAATGCTGATTATTTAGGGACATCATAACACAGTTTGTCCAATGTCCATATTAACATAGGATTAGAACTGACTCTGCCACAATACCATCTCTGGCACGAACACCAGTGGAGGGGGTGAATAACTTATCCGACGATGAGATTCTCTCAGAGATGGTGGAGTTTCTCAGAGTCTGGAATCTCTCAGAGTCCCTCGGAGACTCCACACCCTCTCCCGCCTCCTCTCTCCTTCTCTTTCTCCGACCCTTTCCGCCTCCACAGACCAGTCCAGTCGTCTGGGTTCGTCTGGAGCGGCGTGTTTACCGATTGGTCAGGCTGTCGGGCGGCCCACGCCGGACCGATCGGGTGTCGGTCAGCGGCGCGACCTTCACGGCGGACCGCTCCGCTCAGCGGGAGCGTGCTGTCCCGTCCGTGATTGGTCCGTGAGGAAACGAACCGCGACGATGGCGCTATCGGAACTGGTTTCCGCGAATGTGGGTCACCTTCCCCGGTAGAAGGTATAATTGGAAATGACTGTGCAGCGAAGTAAGCGAGGTACGCCACGCTGACAGTAACTGACTGGAAATAGTCTTGTTAACGTTCTTCGATAATCTGCTAATGTGTCACTGGGGCCTGACAAGGTCACCTTTATTAGCCTCATTATATGGGCAAATGTCACAGATATCTAAATTGACTAGTGAGCGTTTGCCAGCTACTTCATTTTCCTTTTTTAGCAGCGATATACACCGTTCATAGTTAAGTAAATAATTTTTCAAGGAAGCGATAATCTCACAAATGAAAAAGCTGCAAAAGTGAATAATTGTCCGACGAAAATACTTATATGGATAGTTCGAGAATAACAAAGCATGTTTCCAGTAAGTGTCCTTCTCGGAATATGATCCGTTCAGGCAGCAGCCAACACACCATTGCACTGGTCTTGTCAAGCATACAGCATACCCTGTGGCAGCACGTTAAGCGGTATCGGTAATTAAAATCGACGACAACTGCCGCGACAACACTCAATGTAAGCCATCTGGGTGTTCTTGACCGAGTATTTTAAGTGCCGTGATTTCGATCGGGGGGCTCTGGCTGTTCCCACCGCCGCAAAATGCTACAGCGAAGGGTCTCACCGGCCCAAGGTGATGATAACGGCAAAATGCGCCGGGAAATGAGACCGCTCACTAAGGTCTATCAGCGGTGGTGGGAAGGGCAACAGGCTCGTAAAGAAGAGTGACTCGTGAGCTTGACTTGGTGTTGAAGTGAGCAAAGTCGTGATGGCCTCGGTTAGTTAACCCTAGAACGCCTAGGGGGGGGGGGTTGTATCAACCCCCCCCCCTGAGGTTTTTTCGAAGTGCACGCTAAACGGCTTGTCGTAGCGGGCTGAAATTTTCAATACCCTTTGGGTCAAACTTTGCGCATCTTTTGCCAAAAAAAATTGATCGGGTCATGTCAGGTCACGGAGTTATGACGTCATAAGAGGTACAGCCTCCGGCCGGATTTTCACAAACTGAGTGCCAACGCCCGAGGTTTCCTGCCGGTGGTACGGACATCGGTTGATGGATCGTGATGAAACTTCCCATGCATGATGGGGCAAGTATTGGCTATCATATGGTATAAGAAATTTGACCGGGTCAGGTCAGGTCACGGAGCTATGACGTCACAAGAGGAACAGCGTCCGGTACTATTTTTGAAAAGCGCCCGAAACACTATTTTGCTAATTCTTGTCACCTCAATGGGAATATGCAGCAATATTAGATTCTATAGGGAGCAAATGGACCTCCCAAATCCAAAAATACAATCAGATTTCAAAAATTTAAATTTTGATTTTTCGAATTTCTGCCGCCGACTGTGACCTTGCCGACTTCCGGCGATCCCAACGCGCCATTTTTAGAACTAGGAAAACGAAATACATACCAAACGATAGAGAATTGATCAAGGAACACGATAGTGAAGGTTTCAAGTCGATATCTCCAACCGTTTTGCCGCAATCGCCGCCGAAAGTTGAAAAAAGTCTATTTTTCCGAAAATTTGACCTTTGACCGGTCAAAAGTAGGTCAAATGTTGACCTAGGACCAAAAAAATATACCACCAATCGCGAGATCTCGTTGAGAGCAATCCGTTGGTTTTTTCCGCTAAGCTCTACGACCTTCCGTTTCGAAACGCCAGGGGGGGGGGGTCGTAACAACCCCCCCCCCCTGGTCGTTCGTGTTATGAGAAATGGCCTGGTCGTGCGAGGGTTAATGTTTTGCTATAAGTCACGAGGCTGAATCTTCCTCTCTCATGAGTCTTAGCGAGCGTATGATGTCTCATCCACCTCCTTCCCTGATGGAGTTACGCTCAGCTCCAGCTCCAGTCGTCCCTGGCCAACCATCATGACTCCGCATAGCCCTCGCGGGACAGCAATGTAAAACAGCGGTGACATTTTGGCTTGGATGTCACCGCACCGGTCTGGTCAGCTGATGACATAAGTTGAGGTGTGTTGTGAAATGAGTGGCATACTTATGAAGCTGATTAAACATTGGACATAAAATACCTATATCTAATAACTCCGATGTCTAAAATTCGCCTTCAAGTAAACGGAAAGCGGTACACATGTTTGAAAATCTCCTGTGACCGCCAAAACTGTCCTGTCGCCCGTCTCGCGAGCAGGGTGGCGGGCGGCCGGCGGGTCAGCCGAGCGGGCTGCCGCGCCGTCCCCCCCCCGCCCCAGTGGGGGTGTTTTTGCGCGCACCTGTGTGTGCCGGACCTGACCCCTCTCGCGGCGACGCCCGTCGATAGCTTTGTTCACGGGGAACGTGGTCAGCGCGGCGGGCCCGGTTACGTTTGTTTAGCGCGCTGCGTCCGTCCCGGCGGCCGCTGGCGCGCTGCGTCGCGCCCTATCTCTTTCTTTATCTCCGGTTCGTCGCGTCCAGTTAGTTTGCCTAATACCGTTTGCTTTGCTCCCTCGCTATCTCCCCTGTGTGTGACCCCATTGCCAGTCGTATTTAAACCTGCTGTAAACACCTCCCTCTCTCTGTTCTCTACCAGTCTTCGCGCCGTGCGGTTGTTCGCTCCGCTCGGCTCAGCCTCCACGCAGTGTGGTGGTTTTCTGCCGGCTCTTTGCTCATCGCAATATAGACTGTGAATAAGTGCAGTGGTGTGTCCAAGGAAGTGGTCACCTGGAGCGATTGAGCAAAAGACTTCAAGTTAGCGGCACAGTATACTCAAGTTCCTCTCTGTTCTGCCTCAGTCGTCGAGCCGGGCGGTTGTTCGTTCCGCTCGTCGCAGCCTTCAAGCAGTGTAATTGGTTTGCCGGATCTTGCTCTTTGCAATACAGACTGTGAAATCAGTGCAGTGGTGTGACAAAGGAAGTGATCACCGAGAGCGAGGAGTGAGAGAATCAAGATAGCGGCACAGTATACATTCCAGTTACACTTCACTTCACTTACACTTCAAACGCAGAATTACCCTCCCCCCTATACCTAGCCCGATCGTGCCATCACGGTCTCTATTCCTCACCTCTGTTCACGCCATCGTGGACTCTGTCCTTACGAGCCCTGTCGCGCCAGCGCGACTCTTTAACCTTCCCCGTGTCACGCCATCGTGGCCTCTATCCTTATCTCTCTTAAAGGTAGGTCGGCACAGCCCAAACCTCGCCCGATCGTGCCATCACGGTCTCTATTCCTCCCCTCTGTCCACGCCATCGTGGACTCTGTCCTTACGAGCCCCTGTTGCGCCAGCGCGACTCTTTAACCTTCCCGTGTCACGCCATCGTGGCCTCTATCCTTATCTCTCTTAAAGGTAGGTCGGCACAGCCCAAACCTCGCCCGATCGTGCCATCACGGTCTCTATTCCTCCCCTCCGTCCACGCCATCGTGGACTCTGTCCTTACTAGCCCTTGTTGCGCCAGCGCGACTCTTTAACCTTCCCCGTGTCACGCCATCGTGGCCTCTATCCTTATCTCTTTTAAAGGTAGGCCGGCACAGCCCTAACCTCGCCCGATCGTGCCATCACGGTCTCTATTCCTCACTTCTGTTCACGCCATCGTGGACTCTGTCCTACGAAGCCCCGTTGCGCCAGCGCGACTCTTTAACCTCCCCTCGAGTCACGCCATCGTGGCCTCTATCCCTACTCATCCTTGTACCTGTTATGAGGGTCTGCGTTTCAGTCACCTAAATGCCATGGACCAGTAGCCACGCCCAGTCACACAGAAACAAGATACAGTCCACTATAGAGCGCTCGTGACGCACAGGCACAAACGTCACCGAGTCGGCGCCGGCTGCTGCGTCTGCGACATTTAACTGGTCCTCCGGGCCGGATAGAGCCCGCATCATGTCAGAAACAGAAGGTACAGATCAGCCCGGCGCAGCCGAGCAAGAAGAGAGCGTCCAGGAAGAAGCTCGTCAGGAAGCAGCCAATGAAAACTTGAAACTGCTGCGCCGGAAACGGGGGCAAAAGTTGGCAGCATTCTCACGGGCGTGTCACCGAGCGGAAGCGATCATCGCAGCCCGTGGGAGTCGGTCGCGCCTAGAAGGTTTGTTGGAAACCATTGACTCGACCCTGGAAGGTGTCATCGCAGCAAATGAAGCTTTAGAAGCCTGCCTGACATCTCAAACTGAAAGGGCTGAGGCAGAAGCGTATTGCGCAAAGGCTGAGCACGACAGACAAGAAATCGGGGAAAGAATCACTCAGCACCTTGCTGAGCGCAAAGATGAGGCGCCATCGGAAGCCGGCTCTCATGTGTCTGCCGCTCAAGGAAGCAACACAAGTAACGCCTCGAAAGCTTTGCAAGTTGAAGCAGAAGTCACTGCAAAGTTGAAGTCTTTACGTCTACAGCAGCTGAAGCGCAACCAAGAAGAGGAGCGGCTTCAAGAGAAGCAAGAAGAGGAGAGACGACGAATTCAAGAGAAGCAAGAAGAGGAGAGACGGCGCCAAGAAAAGGAAGCTCAGAGGAGAAAACAGCTACAAGACGCCGTAGATGAAGCTGAAGCCGCCCAGCTAGAAGTCAGTCTGCGCAAAGAGCTCAGCGATGACCTCCAAATGGAAAGAAGAAATGATTTTGAGGATGAGCTGTTCGGAGCCGAAGAAGTTGTGACAAGGAACCGTCAGCTTGAAGTGCAACCAGTATGTGAAGGAGCGATCACCAGAGCGGCCCGTCGAGTGGGAGTGCGTCCTGAAGAGCCAGTTGAAAGATCGGAATCACGCAAGGTGGGAAACGCGACGTCATGGATACAAGGACTGCAAGGCCCGCAGCAGGCGCCGCGCACAGATGGAGCGACCGCGTTTTCTGCCTTCACAAAGAGTATTCCAAAACTAACTCTCCCTACCTTCAGCGGAAAGGCATCAGAATGGCCGAGGTGGGTTGGATTATTCAAGGCACTGGTCCATGACCAACCATCTCTCTCCGACACTGAGAAAATCGCCCACCTACAATCATCTGTAAGTGGTCTGGCACAGCAGACTATATCTGGCATGTTATACGACGGAAATCTCTACCACCAAGCTCTAAAGGCGCTTGAAGAGCGTTTCGGCCAAGACGATGACATCATTAGGCACAACCTCAAAAGCATCTTCAACGCTCCGGACCCACGTGAAGACGACGCAGAATCGCTGGAAAAGTTTCAAGCAACCGTACACTGTGCAGTTACTATTCTTCAGAACACAGGAGCGGACGCAGACCTGAACAGCAGCGACAGCCTACAGCGAACAGTTGAGAAACTACCAAGAGAGCTGAGGCGCGAGTGGGGCAAGTTCTCCTTGGAGCTGAAACCTGGAAGACCGTCGCTTTTGGATGTAGATGCGTGGCTGCAGACTCAAGTCAAGATAAGCAGAAGCTGCCCAAAAGGAAAACAGAGCTCTGAAGAAGCCAGCCGTAAGCACAGGAAGGAGAGCGCCGTTGAGACTGTCAGCAGACAGGCCTTTACCACGGCTGCGAGGCCCATTCAGAAACAGGAATGTTCTCTCTGCGGAGAACACCACAATCTGGATCAGTGCAAGCTGTTCACTGCAAAATCTCCCGACGCCCGGTTGAAGCACGTGTTTGGTGAGCAACGATGTTTCCGGTGCCTGAAGAAGGGCCATCGCGTGAAAGACTGCCGGAAGGCAAAACGCTGTGGGAAGAACGGCTGCAAGTACCGGCACCACGCTCTCCTCCACGGCGGCCAGCCAGTCAGGCCTCAGCCACCCGAAGTGTCAACCGCGGAAACGGAGAGAGAGACTGGTGAAGCAGTTTCGAGGACACGTCTCGCAACCAAGCAGAAGAGGGTCGTGACAGCCTCGGGACACCATCAAGAGGACGAAGGCAATGTTACGCTGCTGCAAGTAGTCTCAGTCCGAGTCTTTGGAAGGACAGGGACCAGAGACACGCTGGCTCTACTAGACCCTGGCGCCCAAACATCCCTATGCAGTCAGAAATTAGCAGACAAGCTGGGCATCTCAGGCGAGCCGCAGGAACTATGCATGCAGACGATTCAAGGTACCGGAAGGGGGCAAGTGGCCAGGAAGCTGGTAATGGAAGTGCAAGGTCTGTCCCCTGAGGCCAGCGAGAAGCGGATAACATTATCCGAGGTGTGGGCCGTACCGAAGATGAACATCTCTGTGCCACGAATCAGCGAACGGCACCGACAAACATGGCGTCATCTGGAGAACCTACATGTGCCAGACTGTTCCAAAGGCGAAGTGCAGCTGCTTCTGGGTGCCAATGTTCTCGAAGCTGTGATCCAGCACGAGGTGAGAGCTGGACCACCAGGGCAGCCAGTCGCCATCCGAACCGACTTCGGCTGGGCCCTGACGGGGGCGGTGCATGCCCTCGTCCAAGAGCCCGCGCAACAGAAAGTATCAGCGGCAGCAGCAGCACCGGGGGCGGTGCATGCTCTCGTCCCAGAGTCTACGCGACAAGCAGCAGCAGCAGCAGCGGCGGCGGCAGCACCGCGAGCGGTGCATGCCCTCGCCCCAGCCACGCAACCGACGGCGGGGCATCAAGAGCGTGTTCGCCGGAGATCCAGCGCTCCTCGCCGACTCCAGCACACTGCCGGCTACGCGACCGCTCGCCCGCATGACCCAGGTGTTCCCGGGACCAGATCGAAGAGTCCGTTCTGTCCAGATCAAGACAGCGGGAGGATAAGCGGGTAGATGGTCGTCGCCCAGATCGCGGTGATGGGAGAACAGTGAGCAAGTGCTGTGAACAGTAATGTAAATATGTGTAAATATGTGGGAACTGCCAATTGCTCGCCCGGTCCGGACTCCGCCCCGTCGAGGCCTTCTACCAGCCGATATATCAGTGGCGGTACAAAGTTTAGTGTTCTCATAGAGTCGAACACGGGGGGCGGGATGTGACCGCCAAAACTGTCCTGTCGCCCGTCTCGCGAGCAGGGTGGCGGGCGGCCGGCGGGTCAGCCGAGCGGGCTGCCGCGCCGTCCCCCCCCCCGCCCCAGTGGGGGTGTTTTTGCGCGCACCTGTGTGTGCCGGACCTGACCCCTCTCGCGGCGACGCCCGTCGATAGCTTTGTTCACGGGGAACGTGGTCAGCGCGGCGGGCCCGGTTACGTTTGTTTAGCGCGCTGCGTCCGTCCCGGCGGCCGCTGGCGCGCTGCGTCGCGCCCTATCTCTTTCTTTATCTCCGGTTCGTCGCGTCCAGTTAGTTTGCCTAATACCGTTTGCTTTGCTCCCTCGCTATCTCCCCTGTGTGTGACCCCATTGCCAGTCGTATTTAAACCTGCTGTAAACACCTCCCTCTCTCTGTTCTCTACCAGTCTTCGCGCCGTGCGGTTGTTCGCTCCGCTCGGCTCAGCCTCCACGCAGTGTGGTGGTTTTCTGCCGGCTCTTTGCTCATCGCAATATAGACTGTGAATAAGTGCAGTGGTGTGTCCAAGGAAGTGGTCACCTGGAGCGATTGAGCAAAAGACTTCAAGTTAGCGGCACAGTATACTCAAGTTCCTCTCTGTTCTGCCTCAGTCGTCGAGCCGGGCGGTTGTTCGTTCCGCTCGTCGCAGCCTTCAAGCAGTGTAATTGGTTTGCCGGATCTTGCTCTTTGCAATACAGACTGTGAAATCAGTGCAGTGGTGTGACAAAGGAAGTGATCACCGAGAGCGAGGAGTGAGAGAATCAAGATAGCGGCACAGTATACATTCCAGTTACACTTCACTTCACTTACACTTCAAACGCAGAATTACCCTCCCCCCTATACCTAGCCCGATCGTGCCATCACGGTCTCTATTCCTCACCTCTGTTCACGCCATCGTGGACTCTGTCCTTACGAGCCCTGTCGCGCCAGCGCGACTCTTTAACCTTCCCCGTGTCACGCCATCGTGGCCTCTATCCTTATCTCTCTTAAAGGTAGGTCGGCACAGCCCAAACCTCGCCCGATCGTGCCATCACGGTCTCTATTCCTCCCCTCTGTCCACGCCATCGTGGACTCTGTCCTTACGAGCCCCTGTTGCGCCAGCGCGACTCTTTAACCTTCCCGTGTCACGCCATCGTGGCCTCTATCCTTATCTCTCTTAAAGGTAGGTCGGCACAGCCCAAACCTCGCCCGATCGTGCCATCACGGTCTCTATTCCTCCCCTCCGTCCACGCCATCGTGGACTCTGTCCTTACTAGCCCTTGTTGCGCCAGCGCGACTCTTTAACCTTCCCCGTGTCACGCCATCGTGGCCTCTATCCTTATCTCTTTTAAAGGTAGGCCGGCACAGCCCTAACCTCGCCCGATCGTGCCATCACGGTCTCTATTCCTCACTTCTGTTCACGCCATCGTGGACTCTGTCCTACGAAGCCCCGTTGCGCCAGCGCGACTCTTTAACCTCCCCTCGAGTCACGCCATCGTGGCCTCTATCCCTACTCATCCTTGTACCTGTTATGAGGGTCTGCGTTTCAGTCACCTAAATGCCATGGACCAGTAGCCACGCCCAGTCACACAGAAACAAGATACAGTCCACTATAGAGCGCTCGTGACGCACAGGCACAAACGTCACCGAGTCGGCGCCGGCTGCTGCGTCTGCGACATCTCCCTTGAAACACACTGGTTAAAGAGGCGATGAAATTGCAACCACCTAAGATAAATCTTGAGTGAGCTTATTTCGACGCCAGCTGTCTGAGCTGGGGCAGCCGTTTGCACCAAGTAAATCGCCTGAGAAAATTATCCTGGTCCGTATTTAGCCCTGGCAGTTCAGCCTAAAGAATAGTACTGAGACCTCCTGCAGAGCAGATATAATTATCGAGCCGATGACGCGCGATTCGATTAGATACTAACCACGTGATTAACGGAGACGGTGGGGATATAAATGGTCCACCGACCTCCTGACGGCGCACTAACCGGGCCGCCAATGCAGCGGGTCGATTAGAGTTATTCAGGATGACGTGACCCGCCTGACCAAGACAAGCACTGGCGCTAATTTAAGACGTGAGTGATAATGCAAATCGTCGGCATGCTCATTCACTTACATTAAGCTATGCATGAAAGCAGGCCACGTGTGTATAGTCACACCATTACTGAAGGCTTGGGCAGCAGGAACTAGGTGAAAAAAATCAATGATGTTCTATAAATAAAGCAGTGATACATAAAATATTGTTTTGAAAAATTATATTATCATGTATAAATCACAACAACGGCATCTTCATTTTAACGATGTGTGAAGGCTATTACGATGACCAAGTGGAAAAATCTTGTAGAAATACATATTAAATCTTATTGAATAAACCTAATGAAATTACCTAATCTAATCTAATTAATCTAACTGATCTAATTATTTAACCTAAATGCATCCAATGGTATACATAATTGATATGATATCAGTACGTATCTAATGAACAGCTGAGGGCTCCAATTATTTTCCCGACATTGACCCACCATATTCCTCAAATTCTCTTACGCAACAATACCCGCCGGGCACAGGGATTCAAGAAGAGCGTTTTACCAGCTGCCGGACATTGGTCACGTGACCACATTTTCCGTTTGACCTTGAGTTGGCACCAGATTTTGTCGACATATGTGGCGCAGCTTATTTTACTGCATTATTTTAGATACTAAATATTTAGACGTGTGGTGGTAAATGATACCGTGCAAATAATATTGAATCATCTGTGACATAGTTACCATTGAAACTTGAATAGCATCAATAAAATACAATTAAACTACTATTACTCTTCCATTGATTTTATTGTGTTTGGCAGGCATAGGTAGAAACCATGAAGAGCTGAGCCTGCAGATTACAGTTGTTCTATTCTATAACTCTTAATAATGCATAAATCAAGGCTACTGAGGGTTGCAAATTTGTTTTTAATAACTTATCTTTAATAACTTATAACCTACCTTCATCTACCATATCTGTAAGAATCTTGCATCAATCATCACCAGACTTCTTAGTTTTTTACATATACCTACCGGCCGCGAGAGTGGGCGGGTACGACTCCCTCGCCCTAATTGAGCTAGCCTCGCGGGAAAAACAAGCATGTGTGCCGTTACGGGACCGGGGACGCAGCGATTGATGCACGGTTCAAAAGTCTCAGGTCAACTGGTGGCCTCTGAGGGTCAGGTCAAGTGCCCCGAGGGCCAAAATACGATTTCGGGTTTTGAGAAATAGCTTTACAAAAAAACGGCGCAGAGTCGCGATTTTAGTACCATCATGCTTGTCATGCTCCGGTGCGTCAAATGGTACACTTTTGTTGGGTGGGGTCAACATAAGGTGTTCACATCGGGTCAAAGTCAGGTCAGAGGCACTCGGGTCACGAAGTTGGTCGGAGGAGGTTATATCGTATATCATTCGATTCGGTAGGTCCTCCCGAGTCTATTGGCGACTTTTCCGACTTGCCAGTTCAATTTTATCAGGAGTTATTGACGAAACAACTTGTGACCTTTCTGACGTCATAAATGACATCACGCTAGGTTAAAGATGCAAAAGTGAAGCATTGGACATTGCAAGAATTGCATGAAATTGCGGTTCCATGTGCTTGAGCTAGGTTTAGATCATTCTCGGCGTCAAAATTACAGTTTCCATATGTTCCCCATTGACTTGTAATTGTGACGTCACGCGATCGGCCTGACCTCATGTGACCTCTAGGAGAAATCCGAGATATACAAGTTTTGAGACTTCTAGAGGATGCTAGGTCCTGTAAGTATCATCTCGCTGTGACAGCTCCTCTGGCACCGAGGGCATTGCGAAGTTTCGGTATGTTGGGACTATTGCAGAAGTTCACGTGTGACGTCATAAGTCAGTGATCTGACCTGAGACGAAAATGCAATTGGTTTCCAAAGATGCGTATGGAAGCAAGGATAAAATGTGCCAAATAGCAGCCCTCTAGCTGTAAGGTGTTTTGAGCTATCGCCAAAAGTCGTGAGTGCGAGCGCTACTGACTCCTCCGGTCAGCCGCCGGGGGTTAGGAGGCGTGCAGGGTATCGGAAAACCACCTGGTACTTAGCGAATTTTGCCGATAAAAATACGTTTCTTATGCCGACTTGTAGCTAAAAGACTACTGAATCTCAAACCAGTCGTATCCTTGCACTAAATGGCTTGGTTTAGACACGATAGGTCTGAAAAGAAAAGGTCCCATGTATTCTCTATGGGCGCCGCGAGGCCGTTGGCACCAGAGTTTCGGGAAGTGCCCTCGCCACAACCGCACGTGCAGATTTGGTCACGTGACCAAGCGCATTTGCCGCCACTGTATTTATATACACTGTGCGTTTTACAACCATCATCATCCGATCGGGTATGCAAACTATGTTATAAAATAAGCGTTACTCGGCTGAACCATGTTAAAACGGCGGTCAGCTGTCCGTGTGACGTCATATGGGCGGTGGTACGGAGAGACTGCAACGCCGTGCGCCGGGCGGGGCGCCAGCGGAAACCTCATTTCGGCACATGAACGTAACACCACGGCTCGACGCGGCGAGCCATCGGCGCTGGAAGTTGTAGCGGCCGGGGTTTTGCAACGCGCCGTGCCCGGCAGGGTTCTGTAATAAGGCGACTTATCATCCCAAGTCCTGGCCATGCGCGATTGTGTTTTGATTCACTGCGCTTGAAAGCTAGAAAAGTGCCGTGTCTTACTGGTATTGCTTCGAAGGTGAGAAAGAGTGCATGGATTTCACCAGAAGATAGCCACATCGCCATAAATTCATTAGACATTTGTGGTGGGCCTTGACACGGAACAAATACGAAGAATTGGTGGTTACAGGATGCAGCACGATATTGCAGACCATTTTTCCGTGTTATCTCTCATTAATCTTCATCAATCTGATATTGCATCGCCAATATCATGACCGCATGGCCGTGCAAGGTCAAATAATTTGATAATGAAACACTTAACCAATGATTTGGTTTGAAAATTGAAAGCATCAAAAGTAGTTAAACTGAACCGGTTCCCAGCCGCAAAGTTTTGACAGTGCATTTTGACAAGGTGCATTTGCTTTTTCATATTTTTGAAATGCCATTATGTAAATGTTTATTACGTTGGTAAGCGGTACATACGATTCATATTCATCAACTCCCTCCCCACTGCACTGAGATGCCCAACCGCCCGCCCCACTAAGCGGCATGGTGACAGCTCCAGCTCCGTGTCACCCTCCCCTCCCCCTCCCCCTCCCCCTCCCCTGGCGGTGGCCCGTCTGACCCGAGCCCGGCGGACCGTGCCACCCGCCTCCCTCCCCTCCCCGCGCCGCGCCGCGCCGGGCCGGGCCGGGCTGGAAAGTGGCCCAGCGTTGCATCACTCTCCGCCGCGCACGCTGGCACAAACAGGGCAGCAAAGGGAGCCGCGCCACAGGTGTGTTTGCCACCGCCGTGGAGCCGCTCTCATAAATATCTCACCCGGGGGAGAGGCGCTGCGCGCGGGCTAGCCACAGCGGCCGCCGACCGCCGCGGGGTGCCCCAGGCGTGGTCGGTGACTCTGCAGGGGGCGACAGAGCCACCGGGGTGAATGGGGCTCTATGGAGCGCGCGCCGGCCGGGAGGTGTTTGCCCGATTGGGTAACGGAGCTGGTGGATCCAGTGCGCTGTGATGCAAATGCGGGAATGTAATTGATTACGTGGAGCGTGTGTGGACATACGAAGGAAAACGCGACTGGGTGC